ACTTCGCCCCCAATGTGGGTGACGATTTCGCGCGCAAACTCCCTAAATCCAGACCGCATGGCGCTCAAAGCTACATCCTGGCTCCAACTTGCCTGGCGCTCCTCCATGCAGGCCTTACTCAACACTTCTAGGTGGCCCAGTACTTTGTCCCATTTGGCCTTATCATCGGCTGGGCCAATACCTCCGCTCTACACTCCTGCACTTTTGCCACTGCTGAGGTCATCTTGTTCACCTCTTCTCTCCTCCTCCTCTTCTCCCTCTTCATCCTCAGCTTCCACTGCAACTTTTGCTCGTCTTCCCGCTCTCTTCGCTCCATAGGATCCGTCATGGCTGCTAGCTCAGCGGCCAATGCGGCCTTTTCATCCTCAGGCACGTATGACCCCGCCTCTTCGTCTTCCCCCAATGATAAGTTAGCAACCCACTCGCTTATCTTCTTTTCAATCTCCGCGTCTGTGTCCTTCTTCGTGCCACTAATTCCTTCTCCACTCTCAATTCTCATTCTCTCTTTCTCTTCTTCTGCGGCCGCTTCTGCTTCAGCAGCCTTCCTTCTTTCTTCCTCCTCCTGTTGTACCCTCTTCATCTCCTCCTCCAATCTCTTCATCTTCGCCGCCTGCTCGTGTGCGATAGCCTTTAGCTTGGCTTGCTTTTCACGCTCTTTCCTCTCCATATTCTCTCTAACTAAGGCGGCCATCTTTTCTTGCTGCTCAGTGGTGTAGGGGCTAGTCTCCTTCCCACTACAGGTCTCAACCATGGTGATAAGTTAACCGGGTTAGTGGTTCCAAACCTCACCACATAGACGTCAACCCCTGACTGACAGACCTACTGACTCAATCTAAGACTCACAGAATCCTGACAGGGATCCTGTCAACTATGGTCTCTAGCCTAGACCTACACTATGSCTGTCACTACTGAACCAGTGGCTGATCAGGAGGCATTTAAGGAGATCCCCCGTAACTCCTCAAGAATTYTTTAACGTCGCARACAGGACGRCATGATCAGCTTGGTTCTGCCTRTGCTTTCAGCCCACAACCCAGCCTTTCCGGCCTACTGTGCCACACCGAGCAGCCCGCTGGTCTGTACCGGTCCTTGGGAGGGTTCGTATCCCCCGGGACAGTCGAGTCGTCAGACACAAATCATCAACCTTACTTGGTCTGGTAGGGGAGTGGTTCCAACAAGCCCTCAACAATTAAGGACGGCCTCCGTTTCAGCCTGCAGCTCAGAGTTCGGAACCTCTACACTGAAACTGAGCAGACCTGCCGCACAGTACCGGTCATTGGGCTAGACGAGTTGTTTAACGAGCGCTCGCCGCTCATGCCCAGGTCTCCAGATACCAGAGTAGAGATTAGTCCTACTAAGTCTCGTGCAGGTTTGGCAGCAAGGCCCTATCCTTCATCCACAGGTTTCTATGACCTAGGACAAAAGAGACTCGATGCAGAAAGAATAGACAGATAGACTGTTCTCAGCAAGTACCAAGGGGTATGTATACATCCATAGGGCAAGGGGCAGGCTAAGGGCTTGGCAAGATGTTACCAACTCCGGCTTGGTCAAAGTCTTGGTCAACGCCTTGGTCAACGACTGTGGTCAACGCCGGTCAACGCTGCTATGACCCTCGGTCAACTTCGGTCAACTCCGGTCAACGCCTCCGGTCAACCCTCTCAGTCAACTCCCCAGTCAGATATGGCTGCCGGCACTTCTTCCTCGCCAATCCCCTTCTTCTTC